GGATTGTTACAATTAAAGTGTATTTTTTCTTTTTGTTATGCTAAAAAGACACATAGGAGATTATTATAGTTCTATTTCATTAATTTTGGCTGAACTAATTGCTCAGGAATGAAAGCTGTTGTAGAAGATGCAAGTCCAGCCTCCTACAAACTTTACCAAATGTTTATAAAACATTTGGTGTAAAAATGAATGATGTTACAACACAACCGAGTGCAACTGACTTTCAGGAGAACTCTACCTCCACCTTCCAGTTCCAAATCTCATTATTCCATCACAAGAAGTCTTTTTTATGTATAAGTAAAAAATTTGGTTAGACACATCCCCTGACTGATTTGTCTTTTCAAGTAAACTAAAAACAACTCACTGGAGTTTTTGAAAAAAACACTACCAGGGGAACTAGCAAAAGGACTACTTAAGAAATTCACACCCTGACTTCTCAGTAATTCAAGCTTGGGAGAGACCACAGTATTTGAAGCCGTCAATTTGGTGATGTAAAAGTTTTGCCTCAACTAGAAAACTGGTGAGGTTTGCATCCATTTGTCAATTCTACTCTTATTCTTTTAAATAATGCTAAAATGTAAGATTACCAGTTATTGCCAATAAGTTTCTATAGCCTAAACGATCTCCGTCTGAAGGCAGACTACACAGAAAACATTATTGTTTTCTTGTTCTTGAGCAACTATTCAACATCACTGACTTCTACATAAGAGTTAAGCCTAGCCTGGCCCTAAAAGACTATGTCTTGTTCAATCGTATCTTGACTTCTGGTGAGATAAAGTCTAGATTCAAAGCAAAAACCAAACAAAGAAAAAACATCACAAACAAGCAAACAAACAAAAAAAAGCAAACACCAACAAACCCAAAATAGAAAAGTCTTCATAATTCCAATTCCCCACCTGAACTGACAATGGCACCTAATTAAATGAGGTAGACATGACTGTCATAAACACTTTCTAAAATAATATACTGCCTCAGTCGACACTATGTAAGAGACTAATCAAAGCCAGCTTAGATCTTATTTCATTGACATGATTTTCCCACTGTTACTGGAATGATTTATTGATTTGTTTGTGACTGAAGAGAATCAAAGTCCTCTGCCTCGAGTTGCACTTCCAACAGTGTTCTTAGTCTACTTTAAAGTATCTGTGAAACAGATTTGGAAACTGAAACTCAACAAAACAGTGAGTTTTGTATCACAGCACGTATCAAACAAATTTTACTAAAGCATCACTTGGAGAAAGCTTGGAAAATTCTGCAAAGTACTCTACTATTTCTAAGAAACTTCTGCTGTTCATGATTATCAGCAAATTTGCTATTTTGGCATCAGACTAGAGCCCCAGTGCCTCCATTTCTGACCCCTTCAAACAAAAACAAGCTGCTCAACAATGTCTAATCCGTGCGTCATGTAATCCTGCTTAATACCCTACAAACTCTGGGTAATATTTGGGTAGTTTTTAAATTTAACAAAGAACATCCTGGCCTAGTTCAAAGATACCCTTGCCTTGGGTAGTGTCCCCTAAAAACATCGCCCACACTAGTTCCAAAGGAGAAAAGCGAACACACACATAGGCATAAGAGAAATGAACAAAAAATAAGTCTAATGTCATCATGAAAACACAAAAAATTACAAATCAAATGACTGAAATAGGAATGCATTAGGCAAACACCAAACACACCACTCAAAGACACATGCTGACTTTCCAAGAGCGCTCAGGGCCCCATGTACCAGGAGGCGCACGCAGCTCCCTGTTCGCGGCGGGGGCAGAGAGCGCCGCGGAGCCAGCGCACAGCCCGCACAACCACGCCAGCCTTCCTCCCATCAACACAGCCATCAACAACATCACGCCGCTCTGCCAGAGAAACAGAAAATCCCTGCCCTGAGACAGTTTGCTTTTTGAAGCGTTATTATCTTACAAGTGGCTCATGCTACAAACTCTACCAAAGAGATCAAAACTAAGTCCCATTGTAGTTCTTCATCATACTGTCCTGACTGTCCTACCTATGATCTCTCAGACCCTCACTGAAGGACAAATATGTTCCCATTTTGTTTATGCTGTCAGGCAGACGGTCTCCAATCATTAGCCTCTTGTCAACAGCGATGCTGGGGTAGATTACTACTGTGTAGTGCCTGTAATGGCAGGTGCATGGCCCTGGGGCTGCCATCTGCCAGGAAGGAAGTGTTCTCCTCCAGGATGCTGAAGAGATTGACAAATAATGTAAACAAAACACCGAATCATTCCTAATCTACGCAATAAAGCTATTGCATTACACTTCTGCAGTGTAGATGTCACCATTCAGAAGTGGGGGCTTCGGTTTGTGGCTTGCATGGTTTTTTCCTAATTATTTTTGTGATTGATTTACTGAGATAAAAACACACTCTGAAATAACTTTTCTTTTAACTGAGGTGGGCAATTCTGCATTTGAAAATAAACAAAAAAAACCCACCCTAGCATCAAATATGTTTATTTTAGAAATTGTCTCCCCACTGTTCACTTTTAACAAGCCTCTTTCCAGAGAGTATTTGCCTGCAGTGCGAGGAAGAACTTGATTTTTTTTAAATTACTGCTTTTGATACATCTGTACACAATTTGGGGTCATCATCACTGATAAAAATAAATTGAGAAAATTTTGAAGTAGTTTTTAAAAGTAAAAATAGTAACGGAACTCCAAGTGTTGTCCTTGGTCTTCTAAATTAATTTCTAAAGGGATTTCTCTTCATCTGAATGAAAATCTTTCCTTAACAGTCCCAGTTTAGTATCCAATTTGTCACCTGAGCTACCAAGCAATAGCATAACTCCATGGAATTATGCAGGCACTCACCTATTCTTCAGAAAACTTACTCAATACTGCTTAATTGGCTACACAGAGATTACAGCCTACTGCTGTCTTTGAGCCAGCCTCAAATGTAACTAGATGTGTTAGCAATTTAACACACCAAGGAATACTTTCAAGTGACCTTCTGTAAAGATGTAAGCAATCATTGCATTGACTTTTCTGTGGTTTGCATCAGGCTTGTAATACCCAAGTTTTAAAAGCTTGTGTTAACTACAAACCCTACAACTAAGGAATTCATTCTACATGTATTAGTGTGGAAACTACAAATGTAATCTAAACCAGGAATCCTGGCTTCCTCCAAAACTGACAAAGGGGAAAAATGCATGCTACTTTTTAACTTGCATTTAAAAGACAATGGGAATCACCTTTGCTGGTTCCAGAGCCCGGGCACACTGACTAATCCGAGAAGCCCACTTGTTAGATAGCTAAAGGCAGCTGACACAAACACAAGTGTAAAAAAAAAAAACAAAACAAAACAACAACAAAACAAAGAAACACATTTTCCTTTGAAAACTCTGCTGCAGGAGAGACAGTGTTTTCAACCCCAGCAACAACGGGACTATTGAGCTGAACTTGGCTTTTCAAAGCTGCCACTCCTGACCCCCTACATACATACACACAAAACTTTAAAAATAACTACATGCCAGACAACAGACACAAAGAAAACATATCTGAACTTTGGAGGTCACTACACCATCTTCTGAAAACTCCAGGGATAATACTGATTTCCATGAATAGATCACTTCTAAGCAAACACTGCAAGAAACTACAAAAAAAAACCCCAGAGAGTTGTGGAACTTTCATAATTACAGATCCAAATTTACCAAATCAGTCAACATACACACTTTAAATTGCTATTACACATTGTGTATCAACTTAATGTTAAAGCTTCCACAAAATTTGCTGTATCATGACTAACACATGAACACAGACACACAAAAACATATGGACAACCAGTATAAGAAGTAGAAAAAAAACACAGATATAACCTTTGTTAGATGTTTATTACTCCAAAAAGAAATATATTAATGGTGCTTTTAGAGAAAAACTTATAGATAGAAATACCTAGATGAAATTATGCTGCCATTTTTCAGTGGATGCTTGCTATGTTTCAGCTTTATAAACCACTTCAGCATTCCAGTGTAATGAACACTATACAAAGCAAGAATAAATCTAGTGTAAAGAAACCCATGTTAATCTCTCTTTAAAAAAACAAAAAAAAACCAACAAAAACAAACCAACCCCACCATATAAAACATGCCCTAATACTCTTTCTACTCAAATACTCCTTTATTCTTACTTACAAACGAATGTTAGTCTCTGTAGCTATCTTGAAAGAAATCAAGTAATCAGAAGCAATCATCAACCTAAGCATTTCCCCTGCCTTGAGCAATGACTGTACTGGTTCACTTTAGAACAAACCCACCATTCAATTTGGTCTATAACAATTTATCTTAAATGACTGAAAGTAACCATGACATTCTTCCTAGGAGCAGTATAGCTAAACAAATTAAAGTATAAAGCAAAAAAGAAGTCTAATAGATTTTGTGATATTCTATCTGCGTGTAACAAGCTGACACCCATATAACAAACATAATTTACAATATTAAAAGCTTCACTTAATACTAGGTAATTCCAGTTTACATTTTTTCTTTATGAGTGGCACTGCTAGGTTCAGATCTAACCATTTTGGTTTGGTCACCTGCAAAGTGTCATCTGAAAGACAGTAAATTAATTTCAAGATGTTTAAAAGAAAACCTCAACTTTTTAATTCTAAGTGTGAGTTAAAAACTCAAGCTATGTAAGTTATTAAAAGTTGCTCAGTTCTTTAGTTAGTTAGATGTTCTTACAGAACTTAGCAGTAAGAGAAACTACTACAATGGATTTATTCAAGAAAGACTTTAAAATATTTATAGATTTCTAACACAGCATATAGTTCTTTTAATACTTTTAAGAAGTCATTTTAAAATGAGCATTAATTTTGTTAAAGAGACAAACATTCTCACATTGCTCTGAGAGCCAAAACATTTTGGCAGTTGGCATGAAGAGGTCACAAAAAAAACATAATAATACAAGTCATTGTGTAAAGGAATCCCAAAGAAAAAGGAAAAAAAGTTTATGTTTTTCCACAATCTAAAATGCCATTAGAAAGAAAGAGAAAGAGATTGCTTAAGATAGGCTTTTTTATTGTTCAGATGCAACCATAAAACCCTCACAAAACTAAAAGCTATGCAAGAGGAGGATCATTATTATCAAAAATCACCTTATGAACAATTTTAAGCAGATGCATTACAGATGAGGACTTCTTCAAACAAATCAAGGCAAAAGAAACTGACAGAAAGAACCCTCAAGGTTTTTTGTATTACTACATATAGTATCTGCTCTATTTTAGAAAACTAGTCCAACTACTAGAAACATCTACAAGTTGAAACTACAGAGCGCTCTGTGAATGGAAAAGAAAACAAAATTAAAGATAACCCACTCTGGTGACTTAGATTAAGGAAAAATTCTCTATTATACACCAACTGTAATGGTCATCTTAATTAAGAATTCCAGGATTAATACAAAGGATAAAATCTTAACCCCACTGAGACAGAAACAAAACTCCTATCTGACTTCAACTTTGACTTCAGAACTAAAACCCACCATAAAAAGTCACATAATTATTGATTGTAATCTGTCATAAATATAGTGGAATAAGTAATTCACACTTCATAAGAAAAATGGGTGTAAACATCTCCATAAATAATTAAATCATACACAGTCCATGTTTCTAAGCAAAAAAGCAGTCATAGTTTAAGAACAAAGGCTAGTTATTAGCAAGTAACAAGTTTTAACCCACCAATAACAGTATTATTTTATTTACATTTCAGATGAAGGCAATTGTTTCTCCAACTCCTAAATATTTGCACATTTTTAGAACACAGTAGAACTAAATGAAGTGATAATTTCAAGCAACATTTCAACTGCTCTGTTTTGACAGTAGCTGCGGATGCACTGCTTGCTCTTGCCATGACAGGATAATATGGACAGAGATTTCCAAAAGCAAAGCACTCTCTACAGCAGAGGCATAGCAGAGATATACACTACACATGGAAGCTAGCCACCTTTAAATTATACAAATAATTTTCCTTAAACCATTTATCCACATATAAATATAACTACTGCAACAGACCTTAAGGAAAAAGTCAAACTGATTTTTAACATGTATTTTGCACAAATCAAAATATTCATTTTCTGAGAAGGCAATTGCAAAGAGCTTATTTGTATACTCTATCTCAGTCTCCTGTTGTAAATATTAAACAGAAGTAGATTCTCCATCATTTCAAAATTACTGCAAAAAACACTTGAAGCAAAACTTCTCATTTTTTTAATGTAGTTAAAAACAAAGTTTGAAAAAAGTGCAAATTAAACAAACAATGCTGATTATATAAGCTCTCTCCTCTGCAAATCAGTAATGTTTACAAATTTATATTTTCTCAAATCTACTGTTACTACTGATGAAATAATCTTTTCTATGTGCAAAATACAGTTTTCTTTAAATAGAGTATGTTTCTCAGTAAAACAAAATTCTTAGCAGTCTCCCAAATCACAATGTTTGAAACTCAAATACATTACCAAAATTCTGGGCGACCTTTTTAAGCACTGGCAGAAGACCTTCCACAAACAAACTTTAGTATGAAATCCCAATGAAAACCAAAAGGGAAACTAGGAAGTCCGCAGAAGTTTATTATTTGATTAAACTTACACCAATGAAGTCCTTTATGATGCATTTCTCCTTCCCCATGCTGTGACTTTCCCAGGTTGGCTGCCACAAGTGCAATTAACCTGATGCTCCGTTTTTTGGTACCCGACCCACTGCTGGCTGAGGATGCTGGTGGTATGAGGTTCTTCCTTTCTACCTTGACCTGACTCTGGTTCCATCCATCCCTGCATCCCGTACCTCTGAGTGCACCCTACAGGCTGGCACCCTTCTCAGGGAAGCAAGGTGCTGGAGAAGACAGCCCACGTCCTACAGATAGAGTCAATCCCAAGGAGCCTCCCCACACCACTCCTCCATGCGGTCTGCGTTTAGAAGTTTACGGGAAAGAGGAAAAACAAACACACGTGCAGATTAAATATTAAAATAAAGACAAGCCCACAACCGTCCTTGGACAAACACACGCAGCAGCAGCACCGAGCCCTCTCCGCGGCAAGCCGTGTACCACATTACACGGCTGCGTTCCCTGCGTTATCCTTTTGTTTACAGGACGGAAGGCCGGCGGTCGCTTCCCCCTCCTTACCGGGCCGCCCGCCGCTCCCATTCCCGCGCGCCGCTGCCGCGCCGGGTTTTCGCGGTAACCGGTGCCGCCCCCCGCCCCCCTCAGGGTCAGCGGCTCGGGAATGCTGTGGAAATAGCTCTTTCCCAACACCAGGCTTCATCTGCAATCGGTGCTGTAGGTGGCTCGAGACAAGCTCCTCGTTTCCGAATAAATCCGTTTGCAAAGCAAAGGGGCGTGATCGTCTGCTGGCGCCCGGGACCGCCATCCCAAGGCCGGGCAAGGAGAGCGGGGCTGCAGCATCCGCACCGGGCTCGGGCAAGCCGCAAGGATCCTGAAAGCGACTGAGCAAAACTAAACAAGAGACATATAAGGCTTGGCCCTCAACCCTTCCAGTCATTCAGAATAAGCCTTCATCTTTTCAAACTCTGACATTGCATTCAACAATCCTCTCGTCTTAATTAGGTTCAAAGCTTGCTCTGCAAACGGTGGCATCTCTCATCTTTTCCATCTTCCTGTACTTCCTATCAAAAGAGAAAATATTTTCTTCTTCAAAATCAACTAGCTACTAAGGAAACAGAAAGAAAAAGACCCTGCAAGTGGCTCTTACAAGCTTTTGCTGTTCACTTGTTATCGATGCCTCTACCAGCACTGTGAATAAAGAAGCAATACCTACTCTCCTCCAAGCAACTACTACGTGGTTTGTCATTTCACCCAGCAGTACCCATAAACACACATTACAGCTACCTATATATAAGCTACTATGTCTTCCATAAATCCAAGAGACAAGAGAATCCTTACAAGTGTCTCATTATTAACTTTTCCTCCTCGACAGACTGGCTGTTCTGCACCCTCCTCAACCAGCACCCAGTTCTGTATAAACCCTCACTGACTGAGAGAAAGTGGAGTACTATTTTGGTGAAGAAGGAAGGGTATTTGTTTCTTTCCTTTTTTTCTCAGCACCTAATTAAAGGAATAGCTACATACTGAAAACAGAAAGTCTCTCTCACCCTAAATTTCAGATTTCTTCAGTTTAACACCCAACATTTGCAATCCATGAGCCATCAACTGGGACATTGTGACACACCAACACAGGCCCTGAAGTGAAATATGCGATACAGCATACAACAGCTCAAGTACATAGTGACTTCTGGAAAGAATTACCATTTTTAAAATTCACATTCCATGCTCACATGATTTACTGTTAAACTTTTGCAAGAGATAAGGTATTTCAAAACCATATTAAATTTATCCTCCTGAATTTGATATTCCAGACCTTCTCGGCCAGAGAGCCAAGGATTGTTTCTGTAATCTGATGTCCTCAGTCAAACAATGCTGTTTTTAACTCAATCATTTTACGTTTTTAAACAGTATTTAGAAGCTGCATCAACATAAACTATTTAGGTCACATTTTCCAAACACTTTCCAAAATCTTACTCAAGAAAATTCTGAATGCAATCCAACCACAGAAACTGCGCAAACAGCAGCTTCTCATGGGGTACCCAGAAGTATAAACACATAATAACAGCACAGTAGTATTGAAACATGAATAAATATTCCAAAATTAAACCCCTTTCCTCATACAAAGAGCCACCAAGCTCCTCCAAGACTGCTTATTGCAGGACATGTACAAAGGGATAAAAGTGATTTCTAAGGAAGCGAAGAGGGATAGTGCTCTACACAACACCACACAACCTTGTGATGGTAAACATAAAGCACAAACACGCACAGCAAGCACTGTGAAAGCTACTCACCTTTCACAGCACTGGCTTCTTTCAGGTTGTGAGACAGAAAGTCTATGCTGGCATAGGTGCTCATCTCTACTCCATTGATGCCCCCATTCAGGAGGTGCCTAGCTTTCAACCGGGATTTGTCACAGTTTGCCAAGGACCCATCCACAACATCAATGGCAATGTAGTTGAGGCCATTCTGGAAGCCAGCCGAGGTCTCCCGGCACATGGGACTGCTACCCTGCTCTTCCTCCAGGCCTTCGCTTTTCCTGAGGGACACGTTCTCCACCGAGGCAGAGTTGTGTCGTTTGGGGTTGTGTGCAAAGGAGGGGGACACTGGGGTCACAGTGGTGGTGGAGGAGAAAGTTTCTGAACTGTGCCTCCTCCGCCCCTGGGGATCTGCCCGGATTACCTTTGCCCCCCGATTCGGGTCTGGGGGAGGGCTGGAGAGAATGAAAGCCTCCACCCCAGAGAGGGTGAGCCTCTTCACACCAGATGTGGGACTGGTGACCCGGGCACTTTCTGGTTTCTGAACAATGGGTTGAGGTGGGGTAGTGGCCATTCCAAAGGTCATCTCAGTGTAATCACCACCATCCGATGGGCTGGACGAACAAGCCATCCCCACAGCCGCTTTCAGGTAGTGCCCATTGGGCTGGCTGGTGCTGGAGGAAGAACCTGGAGAGAGAGCTTCCAAGGAGCCCACCGAGACCGTGCCTGACTGGGAGGGTGACTGTGACCCGAAGTCAATGTTCATGTAGTCAGAGAGAGGGGAGCGCCTCTGCCCTGTGCCCGAGCCCAGGGAGGAGGCTGGGCTGTCAGCAGGCAGTGAGGGGGGAGAATAGACGGCAGCATCCCCAAAGTCAATGTTGATGTATTCACCGGGGCTCTTGGGCTCAGGCGGCAGAGGGTGCTCACTCATGCTGGGCAGCATCGTCCGCAAGGTCTCCAAAGAGAGGCGGCTGGGCCGGGCCACCCGCTGGCAGCGCTGGCTAAGGAAGCTCTCGGTCCGGCTGTGCCGCAGGGGCGAAGGCACCGTGTGGCTGGAGGGGGCGAGGGTGCCTGCAGGCAACTGGCTCGCTCCACACACCGCCTCCTCCGGGATCATCCTCCCCGGGGAGTTCATGAAGACATACTGGTCGCTGTCCTTTGCCATGCCCTGACTCTTGTAGGAGCGGGGTAAGGAGCTGTATGAATAGCAGCTGGGCTTCGGGGGCTCACTGGACCCATGCCCTGAAGGGGCAAAAAAGAAGTCTGGGGGGGTTAGGGAGGGAGCTTGGGGCCCATTCTGGGGGTCCCGAGGGGACATATTGATATAGTCACCGTTACTCAGCCTTCCATCTGAGCTCTCCATGGACAACTTGGAGCCGCACCACATCCGCATGTACCCACTATCGTCAGGGGAGCTCTCCCCAGGCGAGCTGGTCTTGTAGCTGCTCCCGTTCCCCGGGGACCCGCTACCCACCCCTGCCCGGGGCTGCAGGATCTGCTTGGGGGCAGACACGCTGGTGGGGCTCATGGGCATGTAATCATCGCTGCCCCGGCTTCCCTGCCCTAAGGCTGCGGCCACACCGGGGGTCATGGGCATGTAGCCGTCATCATCTTCCCCTCCTCCCCCCACTGCTGGCGGGCCCAGATTGGTGCTGCTGCTGCCGGAGCTGCGGTGAGAACCGATCTCGATGTCCCCGTAGTCCTCCGGGTAGGGGGTGTAGGTCACTTTGGGGGAAGCCCCGGCTTGGCAGGAGGAGAAGAGGCGGCCGGCACTGCCGGCGAAGGTGGCGCGCATCAGCGTGTACTCGTCGAGGGAGGCGGAGGAAACCTGCGGCGCGGCGGGTCGCTGCCGACACGGCGTGGTCAGGGAGTAGGTCCGCTTCCGATGGCACCTGTCGCTGGCAGCGTCGGGGCAGGGCCGGTAGCAGAAGCGGCCACTCGGGGGCCGCTCCATGGCCATGTAGCCGTAGAGGTCAGTGCCGCCCCCCGGGTCCCGCACTGGGGGGGTTTCGGCCACCGACTCGGGGGTGTTGCTGCGGTTGCTGGCAGTGGAAGAGGAGGAGAAGGGCCGGAGGTCGCCGCCTGGGCTGGAGCCGTACTCGTCGAAGGACATAAAGCCGGCATCGCTGGGGGAGCCGGACACGGAGGCGCTGCCGCTGGACGGGCGCTGCGGGTGATGCGGGTGGGCAGGTTCGGAGCCGAGGCCGCTACTGGAGGAGAGGCTGATGGGGCTGGTGGCGGAGGGGGGAGAGTGGGAGGCGGGCATGGACATGGAACGGCTGCTCTGCAGCCCGCCGCCGCCACCGCCGGCCAGCACCGGGAGCAGCTTCCCTGCCTGCCGCCCTCCGCCGCCGCTGAGCGTGTGCGAGCGGCTCAGGGGGGTCCGCACAGGGCCCGGGCTCATAGGGCTGCCGGCCGCAGAGCCCACCCGGCAGCCGTCGCCCTCGCTGGCCGTTCTCACCCGGCACGGCGTGCACTTGGTGCTGGCGCCGGCGGCGAGGCTGTCGGTGCGGGAACGGCGGAGGAGGCCGGTCTGGCTGGGAGGCAGGTTGACCAGGTGGTGGTGCCGGCGACCGGGCACGGTGATGGGATGGGTGGCGGAGGCGCCGCTGCCGCCGGGTCCGCCGGCCCCCCCGGAGGAAGAGGAGGAGGAGGACTGGCTCTTGCTGCGGGGACGGAACTCGGACAGCTCCTTCAGCGCCTTCATGGCTTCCAGGATGGTCTCGTGGATGTTCTGAGCCACCACCGAGTCGTCCGCTTGCATCCAGAGCTCGCCGGGGCCGGTGGCGGCCGAGCGCCCCACCTCGATGAAGAAGAAGCTGTCAGAGTGGCCGCAGCGGCGGATGTTCATCAGCTGCAGCGTGACCGAGGGCAGCTCGCAATTGAGGCGCACGAACCCAATGGTGCGGGCTGAGAGGCAGAGCCGGTGGACACCGGTGAGGTTTTTACTCTGACCCAAGCCCTTGGGCTTCAGCGTCACCTGCCAGACCTCTCGGTAGGCAGCGGTGGCCGGCGCGATCAGCCCGTAGTTAAGGTCTTCGCCGGCCGCGGCCAGGGAGGCGGCGGCCGCGCCGCAGGAGGCAGAGAAAGGGGAGGCGAGGTGGCGGTAGGGGGACCCCTGGCAGGCCGCCTTGCCCTCGTTGAGCAGGTCGGTGAGAGCCCTGTACCAGCCCTCCTGCTCCTGCTCGTTCTCGGCCGCGACAGCGAAGTACTCGTCCTTGGTGTAGAGGGCGATGAGGTACTTGTGCTTGGCGTCCGCCCGCTTGTTGATGTTGAGGCAGGAGTCCAGGGCGATCACCCGCTTGGGCGCCCCAGACTTGTTCCTCCATTTCTTTTCGCTTTCGTAGTACTCCAGCCGGGCGCCCCCCGCCTCCTCCCCGCCGCCGCCCGGGCCGCGCAGCACGAAGAAGCGCTTGTGGCCGTGCTTCTGCTTGCGCAGGTACCCGCACTTCCTGACGCCCTGGTTGTTGTTGTTGTTGTTGTTCAGGTTGGGGCCGGGCGGGGAGCTCAGGGGGGGCAGCAGCCCCAGCACAGCAGGGCTCGCCATCCCCAGCCCCGCGGCGGGAGCGCCGCCCGGCTCCTCTCGCGGCTGTCGCCGACGCTGAGCGGATCCGGAGCCCGAGCGCCGCGGCGGAGAAAATAAAATAAAGAAAAAAAAAGAAAGACGGAGGGAAGCAGGTAAAATAAAGTTATTCCTTCGTAGAAGAGCGCAGTGCTCGGAGCCGCAGCGGGATCCTCCGCTGTCACTCTAGGCAGCGGGTGCTGCTGGCGGCCGCCCGGCGTCCTCCCCGGCTCGACTACCGGCGACGCCGCTAAGGCTCCCCGACCGCTGCTGCTGCTGGTGCTGCCGGCGGGAGTTTCGCCGTAAGTAACACATCGCGCACCGAGTGCCCCAACTAAAGAGCAAAACAACACGTGACCGCCGCCTCACCGAGGGCTCACACACCGAGACGGGGCGGAGCGCCGCCGCCGCCGGCACCGCCCCGCATTGGCCGCCGGGCAGCGCGAAGGACGGCTGCGGCCCGCAATGGGGCGGCGGGGCGGGCTCTCGGCGGCGAGGCGGCGCGCCGCCGTTGGACGGCGGGAGCCTCGCCCCCCTCCTTCCCGCCCCTCCGCGTTCCCGCCCACCGCCTCCGGCCCCCCTCGGGCGCAGCGCAACCCGTCGCTGTGGCCGCTGCTCTCCCCGCGCACAGCGCGGAACGTGCCGGGGGCGCGGGCACGGCGGGGAGATCCGGCACATCCGGCGAGCCCCGGTGCCGGCCCTCGCCATCCCTCGGGACACGGCGGGGGGCTGGCGGAGCTCGCCGAGGCCATATCAGGTGCTGCGGACCCGCCGGGTGGAGCTTCCGGCCGTGCGTGAGCGCCGGGCGCCCCCCGCACGCCCCCGCACACACGCGCGTCTGCGTCAGCCCTGCCCGCACACGCGCGGCGGCTCCGCGCGCTCCTCCGCCCGGTGTGTCACAGCGCCCACGCCGCGCGCGGCCGCCCCCGCGCCCTCCTCCCGCGGGGCCGCGCGGCGGGGAAATGCCACCCAGGGAGGGCCGGGGGGCAGCGGCTGCCGCCGTTAGCCCGTGTCCATTGAACAGCACCAATTCATCCGGGCGCTTCGCTTTAGTGGAGAACAAGGGCAGCGTCCGCTTTTCGTCTGGAAACGATCCCGGCTCCGCCGGGGGATCGCGGCGCGGTGATTAGGGAACAAGCGGCGGCGGGGGCAAAGCGGCCCCAGGGCCCCCCGGCGCTCCCGCTCCCTCACCGGCGCTCCGCGGGGCGGGACACGGCGGGGGCGGGGGCCGTGGGAGGTGTCGCGCTTGTTTACCGGGGACCCGCGCTCGTCAGCAGGCGGGCCGCGCCCGCGATCAATGAGCGCCTTTCTCTCCCTCCGGCGGAGGGAGGTGAACGGCGAGGGGGGGCGGAGGGGCCCCGGCCGGGGTGGGCGGCAGGAGGGGCGGGGGTCGGTCCAGCCCGCATTTTCCTGTGTGAGGCGGGAGCGGGGGAAGGAAGGGGGAGCGCAGGGGCCCCGGCGGGGGCTGCGGGCGGGGATGCCGGGCGCTCGCCCCCGATGAGGGCGGTCGCGGCGCGTCACCCAGCGCGCTGAGCGGTGCGGGAGGACAGCGATAGTAAGAGTCAAAGGATGAAGGGAAGAGGCTGTACTGACACCGGCCAGCCTGTGCCTAACCGCAGCCACATCTCCGCCCGCCTCGGCAGCGGCTGGGGAAGCCTCCCTTTGCACATGCCCGGGAAGAAAAGTGAGGCTGGGGTCACGCAAACATCCATCTGTGTTTTCCCGTCTCTCCCTGGAGTGCCGTCGGATACGCTTTCATTTGTCGGCCTGCGCCGGAGCTGAAACAGTAAAGACGAGGGGGGAGAAACCGCAAAACTCCACAAACAAACGAGCGGGGGGGGAAAAAAAAAATCACGAAAGTGATGCGGCGCTTCCAGCTGCCGCCGTGCGGGGCCGTGGCCGAGCTCTCCCCGTGTTCCCGACGGGGAAGGCGGCGGGGCCGCCCGCAGCCCGCATATACTGCTGTGGCAGCTCAGCTCCCTCCTGCACGAAATTCTCCGCGGCTTGGGTCATAATAACTCATCTAGGAATTAACAGCTGTAACAGGGGGTGATTGGAAAAGACGTCAATTCACTGTAAATACCGGTATGCTGCAGTAAAGCATCTTATGAAAGAAGACCTTTCCCATCGTATTATGGGCAATTAATAGCATTTACATTAGGTAGTACTTACGGGGGTTTATTAAATTTAAGGGGGGGGTCAACCGAGTTAGAGAAGTAATTTGAGATCAGAGGCACCAACCTATCTGCAGAAGCAAGAAAAGAGTGTAACCTTAGGCAAGGTACCTGTGACCTCTCTGTACCTGTGTGATTCTTCACAGAAAATTATGTTGACAATCTCTACTGTCCTGGCAATGTGCTTTGATTTCTGTATCTGGAAAAATGCATATAATTGATAATTGTATAGATTATATTTAATGATTGCATAAGAAATCTCAGTGAGGACAGCTTCATATGAAAACTCAGGAATAGTTGATTTTCTATCTATGACTGTAGTGGGCCAAACTATCTCCTAAATCCACACTACCAAACACATAAGGGAGTTAGTTATCTAACTAAAAGTTTTTTGCCACTGGGTGATCTGGGCCTATAAACACAAACTTTTTTCTGCAAACCCCTTTGGAATCTGAAAATATTTTCCCTAGACATTTATGAAATATATTGGTGACCTTGAGCAAGCATTCTTAGGTCTGAAGTCAAAAAGATAAATATTATTCCATCTACTCAACATTGTCATATATGTTATTCTTGACCATGTGGGTAATACAGATTCAATATACTGACTATAGCAGCACAGCTTTGTTTGCAAACAATTTCTGTGGCAAAGATATTAAGATAGACTAAAATCCAAGTTTGCCGTTTATAGTTTTTATTTCTATATTGGCATTGATTGAGCAGCTCATTTTTAGCAATGGTTGATTCATAACAAGCATTATTTTTCATAGTTATTTGGTGCTTTCTTTTTAATGCATAACTGGGGTACCGAACACAAGAAGTGGGACTCAGGCATGTGTAAAATTCAGGTTAAAAAGTAAATTATTTCATGACCGATACTCTGGAATGAATGATCCTAGTTTACATAGATGATCTGTCTTATTCAAAGTTTTCTCTGAACTCCTTTGAATTGTTTTTCAACACTGTATCCCTTCTGAAAAATTTTCACAGCCATTTCAATGTAATTACGGGACATTTAATTACAATAAATGCACTAATACCACTCGTCCACCCCACTTTTCAACTGAAATTCATAGGTCCCTACAGGCTGACATGTCTTATGATTTAGCTATTCCTGTGCATTGTGTAGCAGTGTTTGAGTTAATTTCTGAAATAAGTGGGGTTTCAGAGATACAGAGGGCTGTGAATTAGGATGGTTAAGCACAACACATGCGCCCTTTTTCCACCAAACAATTTGAGACACAACATAGGGGTGACAGAATCTTTAGTAATGCAACAGATCTGTCAGAGGATGTTTGCTTAAATCATCTATATACAACAATTTCATCATACTGAAAGAAAAAAAATTATCCTGTTTTACTCTCCGATTCCTTTTCTTCTGTCATATTACCCTACCCCAACTCTATTTCACTGCATCACCTTCCAGTTTGAGATCTTAACTGGGAATGCTTTGCTAATATTTAAGTACACCAACCAAATAGTTCTAATATTAGCATCTTTCCTGCCTGCTCAACTATGCTTTTGCCAGCATACCAGGCTTCAGCCATCTCCTTTTTCCTCCAAGAAAAATAAACTCTGTTGGGTAATGGTCAGATTTATCAAAATATACTATCTATGTGAGGGGCATTTGCCATCAGTTATGTCAGTCATAAAATGTTACCTCTGTCCACTCTAAAATGACAGAGGCATGCCTAGAAAATTATAGATCTTGCTTTTGGCAATGAAGTTTAGATATAGCAAATACAGTTTTGTCGGCACAGAGCCCTACTGATTGCACATTTCCATGCTTCAAGTACTAGGGGTTCCTTAGCTGTATTAAAAAAAAAAAAAAAAAAAAGTAGTGATAATTTCATTTATTGTGTATTTAAGTGTATTTAAACTTCATATTTTTATTACTGAGCTATATGGATGGATGCTAAACACTGGCCAGCAGCACTGTTTTGCAAGCAATTAATTTCTCAAGCCGTCGATGAATTTTGCTTGGGAAGGCTGTTTGTCTGAATAATAGTTAAATGATTGGATTTATTACTTCTAGGGGCATGCAACTGGTTTTAGTTACATCTGGAAGCTTGATTCTACAAGCCCAGCTCACACAGGGTCCAGTTGGGGTTTTTTGTTTGCTCCCTGTCCCTCTGCCCTCCACCTCTGTTAGGGGGATTGAAGCATGAGGCCCTATGATTATGTAGCTATATTTAAATACTGCCCAAAGTCACTCAAAAGACACTTTCTGAAAGACTGGATGCATGAGTAGGTTGAATTTGTGACAGCCTTTAAAAATAAGTTTTTCCTTTGTTCTTATTCTAAATATAATTTTGAAATATCTTTCAATATCAGGATAAGGAGTAACAGTTGAAAGGGATGTGTTTGATGTTTGGTTTGGCTGTTGCCTTCTACCTGTTGCCAGGTTCACAGAGCTGATGGTAGTGAAGCCATGGGAAAAAGGTGCAGAGAAAGATTATGTGCGTCAGCAACATTTTCTTATACTATCAAGAGTACAGTTATCTGTTCCAACAAAACAGAGTGATTTATGTTTTGATGTCCTTGAACTTCTCCATAAACAGATGAAGTCAGTTTATTCCCTGGTACATTTATTTGCATATTTCTCATACAGTGTCATTCTGGTTATACATTTCATAACCTGAGTGTAAGAGGACATGAACTCCGATGAACTTGTTTCTCGCTAACCTTTCTCAGCTCCTTTGAGTGCTAATGTACCATGACTGTGCTACTATCCAGTTGAGAAGTCTGTGTTATTTGGGAGGAAGGATAGGTCATCTTTCCAGATAGGTTTACAAAAGACTTTGTTGATACTACTCATTTAGCAACTCCTAACAGCAGCTTTTATTCCTTTATAGCAAGACTAATGCTAAATGATACAGTTGCCCTCACCCTTAAATAGGGGCTGTCAATTTTTTTCCTCTCCCCGGTCCTGTGTAAACAGCTATGGGTGGCTTTGTAGAAGAGGGAAAGATACTCAGAAATCACAGACTCTAAAAATACTTCTTTCTTAAGTAAATGTTACTTGCTTCAGTGAATATTGCACCCACAGTTTTCCAGAGAGTTCCAGGCTAAATAAATAGGGGTTACAGTTATGCAACTTCGTGCATATTCAGTAATTCTTGAAGCAAATAATACTTTAATTAATTATTTGAAATATATACAGAAATAATGTTGATGTCACTACTTTGTACGTTCTTACATGGAGGGGGGATTAAGCTGAGGAAAATCTGGAGCATGCCTTATTTACAGATT